ACCCACAGTGAAGCATGGTGGTGGCAGCATCATGCTTTGGGGTTGTTTTTCTTCAGCTGGAACTGGGGGCTTAGTCAAGGTGGAGGGAATTATGAACAGTTCCACATACCAGTCAATATTGGCACAAAACCTTCAGGCTTCTGCTAGAGAGCTGAAGATGAAGAGGAACTTCATCTTTCAGCACGACAATGACCCCAAGCACACATCCAAATCAACAAAGGAATGGCTTAACCAGAACAAGATAAAAGTCTTAGAATGGCCCAGCCAGAGCCTGGACTTGAATCCGATTGAACATCTGTGGGGTGATCTGAAGAGGGCTGTGCATAGGAGATGCCCTCGCAATCTGACAGATTTGGAGCGTTTTTGCAAAGAAGAGTGGGCAAATATTGCAGAGTCAAGATGTGCATTGCTGATAAACTCATACCCAAAAAGACTGAGTGCTGTAATAAAATCAAAAGGTGCTTCAACAAAATATTAGTTTAAGGGTGTGCACACTAATGGAGCCACATTATTTTAGTTTTTTATTTTTACTTCCCACTGAATAAAAGATTTCAGTTTGTTTGCAATTTAGTTGTACAAGTTATAGGTCACATTAAAGAGGGCTAAAGTTCTGGAATTATTTATCTTGGTCTCATTTTTTTACATCACAGAAACCTGGCATTTTAACAGGGGTGTGTAGACTTTTTATATCCACTGTATCTATGTTGAGCATGGAGTGATTATCAAGTCTTTAAGGTCAAAACATTCACATGAAGTCAAGAATCACTGAAGTCACACTGTGATCAGCACCAATCTGTTTTTGTTATGTTTATCATTTTGTCAAGCTCCATCTGAATTCATTAGCAAATTCAGCTGTTTACTAAGAGATGCTTGCCTTGATATCCTCCAGGAGGCATCCCGGGTGCACCAGCCACAGGAGGAATACCAGGCTGGGTCATTGGTGCTGCATAGCCCGCTTGGGGCTGGATAGCACCAGCCTGCGAAACTGATGGTCCTGCTTCCTCATCATCATCATCATCTTCATCAGAGTCATCCTGATTGTTTTTCTTCTTTTGACTCTCTGAAAACAGATGATGCATTAAATGTTAACTAACTTGAAAGTTAGCAAAGTAGTCTTTTTAGAACACGAACTGTACCTTCATTATACAACTTTAATGGCTCTTACTACTTGATAATGTTAGCCATAAAATTTAAGAGAACATTTCATTCTGTCATCTAGGTTTTGATCTACAACAAAAAAATCTTTGTTGTACTAGTATTTAGTGTCACTGTGAGTATAAAAAAAAACTGATTGTTTTTTTTCCCCCTCACATTAAGAAAAGTAAGTGGATCCATACCTTGTGATTTCTGTTCTAATGTCCTTCTCCTTTCCTGCATATCTTTCTCTGGAATCCCCTCCATGCCATAGATCTCCAGCTCAATGTCTGTTCTTCCAGGAATTGCATTTGGTACACTGTCAATAGTCTCTTTATGCACCTGAAACACATGTAAAATGAGCCAACAGGAAGCAAAGTACATTCATTACTTCATGAGGACAGCTTCTAATCCATTTTGATCAAATGCTGCAGGATCTATACTATATAAATGAGAAAGGAAAAATACACAAACCTGCATGCAGTGAATGGCCAAGCCTGGACCAGTGTACAACTTTTTATGGCAAATGTGGCATTTAAAATGCTTTGCCTTCTGATGCTGAATGAGGATCTTTTCATCATCAAAGTCTCGATTACAGTACCTTAAAGGAACAGTTAAGGGCTGTGTCTGAAAACTGTTAACTTGAATAAAACACCTAAAACTTATGTCTGTTCAAACGATTTGTCGGTCAAAGAAAAGTAATCTGAAACTACTTTGTGGGTTCACATTAAGACTGTTGGTCAGACAAAACAAGCAATTACTTGTCACTGAGCTCAGGTAACTCGTGACAGGCGTTTTTCACAATTTACTTAGTATTTCTAACCTGAGCGATTGGTCGATGATGAAAATAATCACTGGCTCCAGCTCTAGTTTCAGACAAACTATCGGTATTTCTTGAGTCATGGCATGGCATGGCATAGCCTAACCGTGGTTTAGAACAGTTAAATTAACATCTTAGGTAACAATTAGCTTAGCGCTGCTTAGCATTATGATTCATTCAACGCTAACTGCTATGGTATAAACGTCTGTGACACCAAAAGTTTAACACATTATTAATCACATCCTGGATAAAATCAGTCTTCAAAGATATACTCTAGCCCCCGATTACAAAGAATTAAGCTAACGTTAACCTACAAGCCGATAAACCCAACCACGGAGAGGACAGCTTAGGCCTTCCTTTTGTCAAGCTAACGAGTAGCCTATGCCATTTCTACGTTGGCTTTTTTTTATTTTCGTCAAAAGGATACCAGCACCATGGCTTCATCTGCTTCTTCTTTTTTCGTCCCATTTTAAGGAATACTGATACTCAAGTCTTACAACACTAAATACAAGTCTTATTATCTATTTGACTCTAGCATACTGCAATCCAGTGACAACGCCGAAAATGGCGCTTTGCTAAAGGAAGTTTGTAGTGGGCACTGCAGTCTCGCGCAGATAGCATACACCGGAAGTAGACGTCACGTCATAAACAAGCCTCAATATCTAGAGATTGATGGTTGTCCAGTATAATCATGTATTATTTACGTGTTTTTTCATTTCTCTCTCACTCATTATTGAATATAAACGGGATATAATACATGAGAAAACACTGAAAAGCAGTCCGAAGGTGACAGATAAAAGAAAGAAATGTTATGAGAACTAAAAATATTATCTGTGCACATATTCATGTAATGTAATAAATAAACAAACAAATAAATAAATGAAATAGGTAAATAATGTTTAGAATTGAAAAATTTGGACTTATAAAATACTTGTAGAATGTAGAATAGACAAATTATTATAAAATAAATATTTTCATTTGAAGTTTGTTAGTAGATAGGCATAAATAAAATAATACAAGTCTTTCCAGAATTTATAACAAACACTGCCAGAATAAATTTGTAACATTTACAAATGGCTCTTAAAAAGGTATGGGTTGTGTCAGTAACATTTCCTTAAAATAGTATTTAGAAGGGTATAATTTGTGAACGATTTTGTAAGAAACTTCCTTAATTTTATTAGTCACAATAAATCTTCCAGAAAGAGACCTGACCTTTTCATATCTAAAAAGGAAATGCCCTTTACTATTGAGTAACAAACACATCAAAATCATATTGTTGTCCAAAAACTCAAAACACATAATCAGTCATCACTTGCCAATTATACTGATGGATTCAACTAATTGTTGCCGCTCCAGGTCAAGGTCAAAGTGTTTATTTGTCATATGCACAGTTAGCAAATGTGTTTTCCTGTACAATGAAATTCTTATTTTGCCGTCCACACGAATGCCACACAATACAAACGAGGCGACAGTGGTGCGGTGGGCAGAGCAGTCATTTCCCAGCTGGGAGGTTGAAGGTTCGAATCTCGGTGTCAGCAGTCAAAGTGTCCTTGGGCAAGACACGTTTGCCCCAGACAGTTAGAACCGTTGGTGGAGATGGCGCCGCAGATGGCTGCTATTGGTTCTGTATCGAAAACAAATTCCTTGTGTGTAACATATTTGGCCAATAAAGGTGATTGTCTTTAAATTTAAAGTAGATGAGCAATAACACAAATCTAAATAGGCAGTAACACAAATCTAAGGCACTTTAAGCTGTGGCCTATACTTTTTGTGGGGAATTCATAAAAACTGCTGCATTTGGGTTGTAGCCTATACAAAACACATTGAGTACATAGTCACAATTTAGGCTAGAGTAAATAGTCACAATTTAGGCTACAGTAAACCCTTACCTTCAGAATAGTCTACATTAGGGCTACCTTGGAAAAATGTGTTGTTTGGATTCACTGGCATGTTCAAATAAACTCCTCACTGCAGAGTAGAAATAAGATGTCATCAACTTGTTATTCAGTCAGTTCCCACTTGATGGCGACAGCATTGTAGAAATACACCACTGGGTGCTCTGCCTTGGCAACATGGACTGGTAATTTGCAAAAGACTGTATTTTGGACAGTATGAGGCTACATATGGTAGAAAGTATGTACATAGCCCCGTTTGCAGTTT